TATGGGCAATAGATGTAATATGACTCAATACTGCAGAATCCAGAGTACATATACTTCTTCTCTTTCCTGTCCTCCAACATAAACTCTCCTATACCTTGTGAGTCTCCCATAAGAGGAGAATAGAGATTCTGAATTCAATACTAAAAACTTTAAAAGTCACTTTACCTCATAATATGGAACTTTCTGAACTGAAGAATGCCATTTAAACCTTCTAACACAAAAATCATACTTATTTGCAAGGGGCAATCATCTTCAAGTAATGAGGTGCTTCATTTTCTATCAAATTTCAAGTGAAAATAAGTTTTATTATGAAGTTTACATTTTTGGGGGTCAAGTTTCAGAGTCATTGCTCAATGACAGTAAAAAAAAAAAAAAATCCTAGCTAGAAAGATGGAGCCTATCAAAAAAGTTTCTGTTACTAACATCTGAAAATAAATTACCATTTGAAAAAATTAGCTGCTTCAAATTAGGCTAAGAGCCACCAGACTTGAAATCTAATTTATGAGAAAAATGTATTCTGTTCAGGATCTTTCTACATAGATATTTCCAGTGACCTTTGATGGTCTGTAATTGCGACCTAATGTTTCATAAATTACTTCTAATGCAAACTTGATGACAACGTGGAAATAGCAGTATCTACTTCTGAGTATTGCTCTGGTATTTTTCTCAAAGGCAAGAAAAAAATAAATGGCTACTTTTTTCTCTAAAAAGAGCAGATTAGTTACATCAACAGAAAAGTAATACTTAACTGTCAATTGTGGGTGCAAGGTACTTATACAGGGTTCCAAGTAGGTTTGAAAAAACTTTTAAACAGGGTAAAATGTATATGTGAGGATTAATAGACCCTCTTTACCTATGCTCATTTCTAAAAATCTTTTCTCTTAGATTACAGTGTGGTTTAAACAACAAGCCAATGCAAGTGAAAAAGCACATTTATTTGATATGGCATCTTTTACATTACAAAGTATTAAAAAAAACAGTACAGTACAAAGTACTAGAAAAATCTAAAAATATTCTTTTAAAAGGTTCTCTCTTTCATTAATCTGCTTGGACACTGCCTAGCAGAAAACACAATTCACATTTGTGAACAGCAAAAACTCATTTTCATTCCTCTTGGTTCCCTGCCACAAATATTGGAGTCACCACTATACATCATAAATATTCGTGGGACTGAAATATATTCACATGAATTTAAACCAAAAAAATTTTTGATTATAATATCACTAATTTTAACCTGAGGACTCAAATTTGAAAACAACATACCACCACCAGCTTCTGCTAATCATTATGTGTAGTAGGTTGCAGTCCATTTGAGTGGTGGTTCTCATCCACTTGTGCCACCATACTTAGCAGACTGCTCTGCTAATATGGAAAACTTTCTGATCAAGGGAAGTTGTGGGGGGAGGGGTGTAAGTTGCTCTGATGCAGTCTTCTCAGGTGTCCAGTACTAGACAGACATTTTCTGCGTATTCCTTCTGGTCTGCCCCATCTCTTCATAAATGGGTCCAGGTGTATCATGTTCAAGGACTGTATCCTTGCAATGTCAGAAGACTAAATATACCCAATGAGAAAATTAAGAGTCAAAACTTCCCAGCAGATATATTTATCTGCATTTGTTAGTCTGTATAAATAATTCAGCAAGGGAAAAAAAAAGGTGTTTGGTATACTAATCACCACTTGGAAAGAGGTAATTTCTATTAGTTTATCCTCTTAAGATTCCAAAGTCTAGTTCAGCAACACATTATTTTATAATCCGCAAATGGAAAAAAATCCCATAGTATGGCATAATACAGGTATTCATTCCACTAGGCAGAATTTTTATTCAACAAAGATAACATGGCCTAAATAATGCAGGGAAAGAAGGACATAACAATAAGTAAAGCATGTGGTTACATGGTTAACTGGAAGGAATGGAGGAAAAGAATGTGTGTAGTTAGAAAAAAGGAGCTGCCTCTGTGTGTGTGTATGTGTCTATCTCTCTCTATGTATTGTTCCCTGCCCCCTTAAGGAAGAATCTTCCCTACTCTGGTTTCTCAGGAACTCAAAAAACAGTATAAATGAAATACATGAGATTTTCAGCAACTTTCTAGAATAGTTCTCAATGGATACCAGAAAACTCCAATAACATTCATTTTTCCAACTACTGATATATATGGGTGGAAGGTTATGAATTGCTAATTTTCCTCCCTATATAGATTTTTTTTTTAAGTAAACCAGATTAGCAGTTAAAAATTCCCAAGAAACCAAGGTTCCTTCTCAGTAGTAGAACCAGCCATCTCCTAAGTGCAGTTCCCTGCAGCCAACAGCATTAATGGACGCTGAACTGCTGTCCTTCCCTGGAGACAGCAGCCAGCACTACTCAAGCTTCTCACGTAGCAACCAGAGCTCCAGAGCCAGCAGCTGCTGCTGCCTTGTATACTCACTCCTGAGATCCAACCCAAAGGAACAACCCTGTTCTCTCCTCACCCCACCCCCACTCCTTACACACTTTCCTCCCCATCAGTGCTCCTTGCCAAGCAGACTGGAATGATACTCTCAGAAGGAAATCATTCCAACGTTCCATCTTTCAGTTATAATTAGAAGACCTTTATTAGAAAATCAAGATTTACCTAAACCCAATTAAAAAGATTTTTTTAAACAAAATCAGTGTTGGAATAAAACTGCTTTTCAGAGTAACATTTTTTCAAGCATGTTAAAATCCTGAGTGTATATTTGTTGCCCAAGTGGCAGACTCTTGTGCCATGTTCTACAAAAGGAAATCATAATTCATTCTTCTGCCCACAGTGACAGCCTGAGTAAAGCTTAAACACTCCAATCACATAATGGGCCAGAACCCTGGAAGGCAGCTATCTTCTAAATAAAACCGGAACAGCCTTATTTAAAAATTATTATTCCTGATTCTCCAAGGCCTGCAGACAACAGCCTATGAAGTTGCTACTACATACTATATTCTTAAAAGCTCAAATTTCACACGATTTTTAAAAAAATCGCCATTTATAACACTTTTCCTTTACTAGATGCAAACATTAATTATTACAAAATTTAACAAATATATTTATGGGATCAAAATTTTCACCAAGACACTCACCACCTAACGGCATCTGGGTTCCCAGTCAACTGACTAAAAATTTCTGAAACATTAACCCAAGAAGGATGGGGCTCTAGTGACACAGAGTGAACATGACCTTGCCCACAATTGTATGCCATTACAAACAACTTGTTTCAGTCAAGAGCTGAAGGAAATTGAGGGAGAAGCTGGGGAAACACCCAGCCCTTGTGAACACATTCCAAGTGAAAATGGAAGAGACGGACTAAAACATTAGGAAACCTCAAATGGGGCCTGGAGCTCTAGGCAAGAAATGAGTTATTAGCGAACACATTACACAAGTAATATGAGAAAGCAGAAAATGCAGGTCAAACACGCACCCCAGCCCCAGACCGGCAGGGCTGGCTGCAGCATCAGGACACAGGGGAGAGAGACCCCCCCCCACTTCCCTCTGGAGAGAAGTAAGATCTTCAAAGGAGCCAGAGAATAGATTAGCATGGAAAGGGGAGGTTTCCCACAGTTAAACTTTCCCTCTCATCCTACAACCCTTCCAAGTCTGATCTCTTCTACCATCGCGAACCACCCCGTTTCACATCTCGTTCATAACTCAGGGAAAAAGAATTCCTAAATCACATATTATTCTGCCTTGAAAAAAAAATTAAAAAAGAAAAGAAAAACCGTCCCTAAAACGATGGCCCTCCACGCCCAAGGCAGGAAAAACGACACCAGCTGGCTGCGCTCCAGCCTGGAATCCTACAAAACCCAAGCCCTCGGCTCCCTCCTCGGAGATGCGAGGAGCAGGCCGCGGGAAGTCCAGGAATGTGCACGGGGGGGGAGGGGTGGCGGAGGCACTGGCTTCCCTGTGGGAAAGGAAGCAGCCATCGGAGATGGGAGCCGACACACGGACGAGGGAAGGGCTCCGGGTTCGGGGCGGAGAGGAGCGCAGCGAGGCCCCGGAGGCGCAGCGGAGCGCCCCCGGGGCCGGCAGCGGGGAGCACAGCCCGGGCAAGCTCGGGGGACCCGGGGCGGGGGACCCGCGGACCCTCCCCAGGAGGGGGAGTGGGGGGGAGGGGCGGGAAGGGTCCCGACCCGGCCCAGGAAGCATCCTCGGGCCGGGGGGCGCTCCAGGGAGGAGGGATGCGGGGGTGGCGGTCGGCGAGGGAGGGAAGCATCCTTCGAGGCTTCCTGCGACGCGAGGCTCAGGCCCCGGGCCCCGAGGAGGGCAGGCCCGAGGATGGGGGAGGGGGTAGTGACCCCACGCGATGCAGGCCGCTTTTCGTCAGACCCCTTACCTGTATCCCTCCCAGGCGCGGGGGGCCCGGGCCCGGGCCCGGGCTGCGGTGTGCGGCACTGCCGGGGAGAGCAGGACTCGAGCTAGGCCCAGCGCAGCGCCGCGGTGTTTCTTGGCCGGGGATGGCCCGAGCCTGTGAGGTGGGGGTGGGGGGTAGGGGCTGAAAGGCGGAGCGAACCGAGGGCGGGCGCGCGGGCGGGGAGGGGGGGAATAGGGGAGGGAGTGTGGGCGGACTGGCGGGGCGGCTGCTGCTGTTGCTGCTGCTGCTGCGCGAGAGTCTGTGAGAAAGCTGGCGGGCGGCGGCCGCCCCTCCCCCAGCGGCGGCGGCAGCAGCGACGGCGGCGACGGCGGCGGCGGCAGCGGCGGCAGCTCACTCAGCCCGCTGCCCGAGCGGAAACGCCACTGACCGCACGGGGATCCCCGGCACTGGCGCCAGGGGCACCCGGGACACGCCCCCTCCCGCCGCTCCATTGGCCTCCACGCCCAGCGCTCCGCACCCATTGGTCATGCGGCCGCCAATCAGGAGCAGCCGCTGGGGTCGCCGGCAGAAGAGGCTGTGCGCGGGGGCACCGGCTCGTCAGAGAGCCAGCTGCTAGGTAGGGGAGCGGAACTCTTCAGGGGGTGTGGGGTTGGCTGCTGACGGGGGAGATGGGTGAAGCCATCAAAGGTGGTGGAGGTGGAAACCTTAGTGTTTCGCTCAACGGAAACTGAAAGGCTGGGCCTGCCCGCTGCGCTGGAGGGGGAGGGAGAAGCAGAAGGGAGCGGAAAGCAAGACCAGAACCCTGCCATGGCTCCCGCAGCGGGAGGAGCTCTTCTGACCCGCCTCCTCTCGTTGATTGGGTGCCTCGCCTCCCGCCGCGTGTGAAAACACAAATGGCGTTTGCTGGTTGGAGTGAAGCTCCTGTCAGTTACGGCCTCGAGAATACGCCGCTGCCTAGGCTATCGGACTGCCCCATGGGCGGGGTAGGTAGGTCGGGGAGGGGGAAGGGCGACCTAGAGTGGGACGTGAAGGGCCTCCCGCTTCTCCCGCCCCGCTGCGGCTGGGAGGGGGTGGGCCTGGTGAGCGTGGGCCTGGAGAGCGTCTCGGGCGTCTCCGCCCTTTTCCGAAGGAGTTCGGTTACCCGCGGTCTGGGCGGTCGCAGGGTCTGATTGGGTCTCGGAGCTGGGAACCTGCTCGGCTATTGGCTCCGACTTGAGCGAGCGAAACCACTGCGTTCGGAGACGGGGGCCGCGTGAGGTCCTCCTGCCCCGCGGGCCCGCGGTGGTAGGGTCTCAGCCCAGCGCCGCAGTGTCTGGCTCGTCGCCCCTGCGCAACGTGGCAGGAAGAAGGCCGCAGGGGCGCTTGGAGGAGGGGGTTCTGGTGAAGACTCCTGGGTGGCGGCGGTCGCCGCGGCTGTGGAGCCGGGGGAGGAGGAGGCGGAGGGCGCGGGCTCCTCTTCCGTGCAGGGATCCCGCCGGCCCCTGAAAATCAAGCAGGTCTTCGCTAACCGAAGCCCCAGATTCCCAGGCCCCGACGTTCACCCTTGGCTTGAAGGGCGTGAAGGCCCCAGGTGGTGCAATGCGGGTTCGGGGGGGGGGGCGTGGAATCAAGTCCTCCTTCGGCCCTTTCCAGGTGGGGGGGAATAAGGGAGTGGACGGGCCTGACTTGAGAGGGGCCCGTTGTAGGGGGCCGCGCCCTTTCAACCGAATCTTTCCGATGTCCTGATGGGGAGGCGCCTCAGATGCACTTTCTCAGGCTCCTGAGGACGTGGGATCGCGCAGAATCCAGACTATACTGTACTCTCCATTTTTAGCTTCCTTTGTGAGATAAATACGTGCGCATTAGCATTCAGGATAGGGCAGAGAATGGCCCGGGGTGCTCACCCTGAGTTAAGGCCGCGTAAGTTTTGAAAGTAACCCCTTAAACTCATAGAATTGAGCAGGTACATGTAAAAAGTGAAGAATGATGATAAGAAAAATGATTCTTGTCTAAATTTCACTAAATAGGTCATACCCCTCTCATAAATATTTTACCAAGTACCACAGCTTTATTTCCCCCAGTTTTTCAGGGAACAAAGGGCGCTGGAGGGATAGAGGAGGGGAACAATAAGGGACAACCCTTTTGTAAGTCAACTCTGTACCCCTGCCCCCACGCCCTCTCCCCATAGGCACATCCCACACTGCCATTTCCCTAAAACTAGATTATACGTGTATTCCCCTGGCACTTGACAGACGGGCACACCTTAAAAAGACACCATTTTGAAAATCTAGTATATTCTCCCCACCCCCATCAGGTGACCAGATAGTCATCCTAGACCACTTTCATTACTTTGGGGCATAAAGAGTACCAAAAAGCTTTCTACAGGGGGCTAAAGTTGTTTACTAATCTTCACTGTTGTTTCTGTACCTGTGCTGCTGCTAATGTAATTTTTCTTGCTGCAGTTCCAGAAGCTCAAAATGGCTTCCCACCGACATTTGTTTTAGAATAGATTTCCTTAATTCCTAAGACCCAAGAAGAAACAATGCATGAGGTGCAAACTGGATAGAAGATCAGGCTTGGAGTAAGGTCCAATCTGACTTAGACTAGCACTGTCATCATGACAAGTCAGTTGACCTCTCAGTTCCCCCATATAACTTAAAAGCTATAAATTAGAGGTGATTGGCTTATCTGCATGGGTAGAACAAATTTTCACCCCAGGAATTCTCCTCACCCTTTTAGTCATAGGTGTGATTACTCCTTCCCCCACTTTCAGATGCTCAGCACTATGTTACCTCTGGTCTTTTTTCTCCTCAAAATTTCCTCATTCATTCCCTACGTTTTTTATGTTAACTTTATTGCCATGGTCCCTTTATCTGATTTTCCAAGTCTCGTTTTTTAATTGATCTTTCTATATAACTGTGGCCGTCCCTTGATATTTGGCAAGCCGTGTACCCAACGTATCCTACTTCCTTCCCTAAAGTTTCCTAGATTGGATGGAAGATAAAGAGATATCTGGAATTGGCCAACACATTTCACCTCTTAGAACAAAATTAAAAATGTTAAATAATAGTATGATTTATGACCAAATGTGAGTAAAAATCAGTGAATGCTGATTTACTAAAGTGAGCATTTGTAAATCATGTAACATATAGTATTACCCTTAAATTTTGAAATAAAATTAAAAAACTTTTGTGTCAACTTTAAAAAAAAATTTAAGAAGAATTATATCTTCCTTCAGGAGACATGGTCCTACTTACAATAAGAGTGCTTGTTCAACTGGAGAAGAAGAACTACCTTAAGTTTTTGGGAAAGAGCTATGGAAATTGCTTGTCTTTCCTTCTTAAATGAATTTCCTTCTTTTTGACTCCTGTTGAAATTTCATCTTAAATTCTTCTAAGAAGTAGAAAATCATGACATGCCATATAATAGGATCATTATAGTTTGATATTTATTGCTTTTGTCCAAAGACCTTTGGAAGTGTATTAATGCAGCTTTAATTTTTTTTTTTTTGTTGTCTAGACAAACTCGTAAATGACACATTTCAACTGAAAACAGGTCTAGAGAAATCTGGTATGTGATTTTGCTTTGCATATAGGCATGTTCAGTAGCTATTGGATATGTCACTAATTTAATTTCAAGTGAAGTCTTATACTTAAGCAGGTACTGCTTGTTTATGGCACTCCTGTTTATCTTCTCTTCTAGTGAAGAGTATTGCTACAAAAATCTACAAGACGAGATCAGGCTGTTTATGGAACGGACTTCGGGTGAGCTTAGTGCTCTGTTAGCAATAATGGAAAAAACCACAGCTGTCTTTTTCACTCTTCATTTAGTGTTCCCATAGCACTCCTTTGCTGGTTCCCTTTTTTTTTTCCTTTACAAAAATTAAATCCGCTGTCTCTAGGCTTTTACAGTAGTGGCTGGGTTATCTGTAGCTGAAGGGATGTATGTAGGTTCATCAGAATTACTGTACAGTCCAACCAGGTCACCTCATCTCAGCCTGTCCAAAGCAGCAAGTAGCAGCAGCATCTGAATCTTATACCTCATTCCCCAGAAGAGCTACTCTTAGGTAATCACATGATCTTACAGATCGAGATTTTTTCTTAGCTTCTTGGACTTTTGCCCCAGTGCCACCTAACAGTACCGATCTGTCTATGTGGACAGCCTTACCAGCAGCCTCTTTGCAATGGACAGTGTGTCTTTGGGTATGGTCTTAGTGGTACCTTCGGTTAGTGTCTGCTTGCCAGTTTCTGCAGCACCCCCAAGCTTTCTTATCAAATGCTGCATGACAACTATCTCCCTCCACAGCAACTGCACAGGCCTCCCTCCTCACAGTTCCCTTAGACTGCTGTCTACCCATAGGGTGAGGGGCAGTGGTCCATGGCAAGAACATTGAATTTTAATTCAGAGGGCATAGCTTTATATCCTGGCTCTGGTCCTTGTTCTCCATGTGGACTTGGATAAACTTTTGGACCTCTCTGGACCTCATCCTCATCTTTAAAATGACAGTTGAACTAGATGGTCTCTGAGGTTCCTTCCAGCTTTAAATCTATTATCCTATGATCCAAAGTCCTGGGGCTAAAATCACCAATTACATATTTTTAATAAACATTAAAAAATTAAAGGAAATAAGGTCCCTTTCCAAAGAAGCTTACAATCTAACAGAGATAAAGCATGCATAAAATAGGATTGTAATGCAAATTAGAATGTTTTGATCAGATAATTATGTCCCTTCCAGACCTATAATTTCATTATCAATGGAGGATGTTTGGCATTATAATTAAGTGTTGGCTATCATCAAACTGAAAGAAATTATTCAGGAATTTTCAGGGATTAACTATGGGTATGACTTGGGTGAAGTGGTTTCTGGTCAATCTGTGGTGCTGTACCATGTGATCACCAGTTTCTGTCCCTCAGCTTGGCAGGTTTTAGAAAGTCAATACACAAAAATACTGGGTTCTGGTGAACTTATAACCAACCTGAATGCCAGAACCTTGGTGGCTAAATAGCACTGTTAAATAGGGGAATAAATTCAGAAAGCAAATTGGTTTGAAGGCCAAGATGGAGTTTGGCTTTGAACATGTTGTATTGAGAGTATGTGGATTCCATATGTAAAAATATCCAGCAACAAATTGTAGATTAAGGACTCTGGAGCTTGGGAGGAGGGATCTTAATGAAGATCTTTTGTGCTTTCTGAAAAATGTTATGAATTGAATATGGCAAACAGTTTGGTAAAAGTGATGGGTGAGGGCTGGTTGTAAAGTCTAGTACTGAGCAAGAACAGTGGCAGATATGGTTCATACCAACTACAATTCCATCATTTGAGGAGAATTATGGAGGATGTATACTCTTCCTTTTATTGATTGTCTTTTAAGTTGTGGTGGTTTAAAAACAAGGTATTTCTCCTATTATATATCATAAAACTGAACTACATGATTTTTTTATTGTAAAATTGCTTTCTGTACTGTCTTACGCTGTATCTCTACTATAACAATAATTATTCATGTTTATGTGGTGCTGAAGGTGACCTTTACAGCTCAGCTCAAATGCCATCTTCCTAAAGTCTTTCTCTGATCTATTCCCTTCCCCCCAACCTCCCTTGCAGGTGCCCTTCTCCCCAGAAAAATACTTTGCTTGCACTTTGTATGTTACTTTGTCGTCACTTGTGTATATTCAGGTTGTTTCTCACAATAGAAGTTCTTTGAGGGCACAGACCTTTTTTTTTTAAAGATCCCAACACCTTACAAAGTTCTTAGAACATACTAGGCATCTCATTCTTGTTGGATGGTTACCAAAATACTTTACTCTCACAACACTGATTATTCCATTTATTGGGATGAAGAAACTGAAGCTCAGAGAGGCCTGTGGTTTCATAGGTAGTCAATGTGTGGGCCCGGATTTGAACTTGGATCTTTTGACTTTAGGTCCAGTACTCTCCATTATACCACCTTCGCCTATTTCTCATTAAATCTACAGTGGAGAGCTCAAATAATGTCAAATATTCCTAACTTAATTACTTCATACCTGTTCCACCTTTGTCATTCAGTTTGTACTCCTTTGGCAATTAAAGATGGCATGTTTTTCTTATTAGATACTTTATAGAGTACTGAAAACCTTTTCCAAGTGCTTACAATTTACTTTTTTGGCCTTATTCTCAATTTCTGTATTAAATTGAGGCCTAAATATTGTACTTTTGCATATCTGATCGCACTCAGTTCTGAAGCTCCTACTGTCATGACAGTAAAGTTGCTTAAACACGTTACCACCTCAAAAGAAGGTGTAGTTTCCAGGGAACTCCAGCCTGTGCCCAGTAGTATTGGTAGTTTACCTTACACAGAAGTACAGGTTGAATGAGGGTTCTAAACTGATAGGAAAAACAATACTGAAATTTAGTGTATGGTCATAGGAGTCAATGAAGATTAAAAAAAAGGCTAGCCACAATGTAGAAATTAGGACCAAGACTATACTATTTGTACTATGTAATAAATAATTAGGGCTTAACACACATGAAGATAGCACTCCAACTCTTGAAAGATAAAATCCAAATCCCCTCCTAGTCCAGAGAGGCCAAGTGACTTGCCCAAAGTCACAAGGGTAGTGAAATGGCAGAGCTGTGACTTGAGATAGCTGATATACAAGGTTGCAGTTATTTGCAAAGTGTACATTCTGGTGAAGAGACAGCAATTAAGGGGAAGGTAGGGAAAACAATTGAAATGAAAACTGGAGTCAGAGGAAAGTGGCATGGACAGATTTTTTACCCAGACTGAAATTCAAGCTTTGACAAAAAATGCAGTAGAGTAGTACTCACAGTAGATTGGCAACAAAGGGAATTCTTTTGGGGTGGGGCTAGGTTTAGGGGAGGAGGAACCACATCTACCCTGTCCTTTTACATTTTTCTCCTTAAAAGGGAGCAATTCAGTCAGAAAGAAGAAAAGAGTAGCTCTAGAAAGTCCTAATTTAGACAGTACAATTGGTATGAAAATGCTGTTGACTAGGCCGGTAAAGTCATGGGCTTAGATTCATCCTAAATTATGCCAGGCTTATCAAGGACAGGCACTCCATAATCTGGAAACCTGGCTTTGACTGACTTGATTTGTGATTTAGGTGAGTCAGTTGCTCCTCCATTTATTTACATAGATGGGAGTACTATCACCAAGCTATAGGGATTGTTTTAGCCCCAGTGGATTGCGTGTTGATCCATCTCGTGGATGTAGACTGTCCCAGTATATGAAGTACTTAACAAAAAGCCCTCAGTGAATAGTACTGCACCTTTAGCATCCTTTAAAAACTGGAGACCATCTCAGAAGAGTTAACAAGTTAGAAATTTAGACCTTGAACAAAACTCAATGTCACCTTTGTTATTTCTTGGCCTTAAAGCTCCTTATCTAATGAGCTTGGGCTCTTCCTGGAGGGGTGAGCACCTCAGTCCTGGGACAAGGCCATGTGAACAAACCCACTAAGTTTGCAAAGTCATCCATGGGTGAGTCAGCCTCTCCACCTCCTTATCTTTCTCCTGTGCCCCAACAACCAATTACAGTGCTCAAAGATCTTATAACGTAGATCTGGGAGTGGTGGCAACAGGTAGCAGCTTGCTTTTAAAGTTCTAGAATCTCTGGGAAGCATGGAGAATTGTAGAAATCTCACTGACCCAAGTCAGGAAGTTCTTTATGAAAAAGGAAAAGATGTGAAGTAAGCCGTTTTTGTGGTTGTATCTCCAAGAGCTGATCTGACAATACAAATGCTTTCTTCGGACAGCTACTAGATGCCAGCCTCAACCCTAAAATTTGAGGCTTAGGGCCATAAGGGAAATCTTCAGTAGATCTCATTTGGAAATTGTAATACTTTCATTCATTAAGTGTGAATGTTAATTTGCCCCAAAATTACTCATTTTGTCAAGAGTTGGCTTATAAGGGAACTTAAAAAAATGAGTGTAAGAGATTTCTTCAGGCATTCTGGCCCTAAAATAAAGAGCGTTAATTCATTTTCAACAATGTAAGACAGAACATGGTCTGTGTATTTTTAAATTAATGTTTAAAGAAACTCTGGCCTTCTGGAAAGGAAGCACCTCTACTCTTCACTATTCCATCCCTCCCCCCTTCTCTTTATTCTCATTCTTCGTGACCTCTCCACATTACTTGACATTGCTTGACTCCATTTTCCATCTTGGAAACTATTGCATTATTTTCCTTCCTCCTTTTTTGACTATTAGTTTTTCTTTTTCTCACCCCTGACTAAAAGTGTTTCTAAGGTAATAATTGGTGTTTTGTGATTTCTTTTTGTGAACTTATTCTTTTCCAGGCTTCAGCTGTCCCCTTTTAAAGAATCTCTAGCAGTCTTAATAATTTTTTTTTTAAACATAAGGCAATTGAAGTTAAGTGACTTGCCCAGAGTTACACAGCTAGTGTTGTGTGTCTGAGGCTGGATTTGAACTTAGGCCCTCCTGACTCCAGGGTCAGTGCTCTAACCACTGTACCTCCTAGCTGCCCCTCTAGCAGTCTTTAGGATGTGTGATTTGGATGCCACTTGTCACCTAAAACAGCCAAAAAGCATCTTTATTCCTCAACAATCTTTCTATTTTAATCAGTTGGTAGCACCCTCCCTCCAATCATCTAGACTTGAAACTTTGTATTCTCATTAAGTGCTTCCTCTCTTATATCCAACAGATCACCAGATTCTGATTTGTTCCTTGCCATTGCAACTTCCCTGGTCTATGCTCCAGTTTATCAAGTCACATCACTACCCCTTGAACATCTTAGCTTACTATGTGGTCTCTGGCCTTTCAGGTTTTTCTGTTCTTCAAATCCACTGTTCACATCCCTTTGAGAATACTCTTTCTTAAACACCGATTTCATTATGTTAACCAAATTCTGAACTATGAGAAGAAATGATGTCTCCTTTATAATCTGGAAGAGGAAGTTAATAGTACATAAGAAAGGAAATAAATATTCTACACATTCAATAGATGACTAAGGGTTGATATGATAGTTATCCTCAAGTACTTAGTGCTGTCCTATAGGAAATGAGTAGATATATTCAGTATTGCCCCAGAAAGCAGAACTCAAACATATAGTAAGTTACAGGAAAACAGATTCCTGCTGAACATAAGGAAGGGTAGCCTTGTGTCTGTTTATTCAAGGAGAAACATTATTCTAAGAACCCCATTTGAGACACCATGCTATAGTTTTGCATGACTTTACATGTTATCATTGGTATCCAATTGCCTGGCTTCTGGGGGGGGGGAGGAAGAGAATTTGAAACTCAAGATAAAAAATGAATGTTAAAAGTATTTTTTTACCTGTCATTGGGAAATATTTAATACAATAAAAATATATTGGAAAAATGTAGTAATAAACTTCTTACCTCCAAAATGATTTTTTAAAAAAAATATGCAAGTAGCTTAAAAAAGATGGAGCATGTCCAAAGAGGTGGGTGGGGATGGGGGGGGGGGGTGTACATACACACATATACCTAGAACTCCAGATCTTGTTGTACAAGAATCAGTTGAAAGAACTGAAGCTATTTAACCTGGAGGAGAGAAGACAAAGGGGAGTATGATAGCTGTCTTTTTAAGTGTCTTGATAGGCTGTCATCATGTGGAATATTAGATTTCTTGGCTTGGTCCGCAAAACTAGCAGAGAGGCAAGAGTTCCTGTCAATGGAAATAAAAATTTCCAAATAATTAGTTCTCCTAAAGTAGAATGGGCTGCCTCAAAAAAAGCAACAAATTCTCTGTTACTGTGGATCAACTAGAAGTTGTCATGAAAAATGCTGTCCACCTCCAGTGAAGAAAAATGCAGATGGAAGCATATTTAAAAAAAAAAAATGGGGGCAGCTAGGAGGTGCAGTGGATAGAGCACTGGCCCTGCAGTCAAGAGGACCTGAGTTCAAATCCAGCCTCAGATACATAACACTCACTTGCTGTATGACTGGGCAAGTCACTTAACCCCAATTACCTCACACAAAAATTAATAAATATATATATATACACACATACATGTTATTCTTGGGGAGGGGGAGGGTTGGTCTGCATTTTCTCTTGCAATATGTTTTGTATGACTAAACATGTATAATCTATCAAATTGCCTTCTCGGGGAAGGGAGAGAATATGGAACTCAAAATTTAAAGAAAAACATTAAAATTTTTAGTTTACATATAATTAAGAAGGAAAAAACTTAGGGGGGGGGGAATGAGATGTCTTCAATTCTGAGCTAGCTCTAGGCTAAGAAGCCCTCAGCATCAAGCATCTCAGTCTTCCTGTTCAGTGACTGGTTCTGATGTCACCTAGTCCATCAAAAATAAGTTTAAAAAACAACAGAAAAACAATATGTAAAAAAACCCCATAGAAATGTTAAAAAATAGAACTAAATATTATGAAATTAGGATAACCAAATTTAATCTTGAAGAGCTATGAGAAAAGTATCTCATTTCCTGGCAAAGGGGAAGAGAAGGACTATGGATGTACAGTACTGCATATGATATCGGGCATTTTAGATACTGGTATTACTTAACTTTTTTTCCCCTTTTCTGTTAAAGGATGACACTCCAGAAGGGTTAAGGGGAAGGACGTACTGGAAAATAAGTCATGTAGAAATGAGAACAATAAAAATTTATTTTCAAAAAAACCTTCCAATGCTTTCACAATTATTCATTAAACATTTATTAGGTGCTTACTATGTACCAAGCATTAAAACCTATTTTTACTGATGACAACATTCCCACTTTATTTCGTACCTTTTAAATGCACTTATAAGAGTACTGAGTTCAAATATGGCTTGAGATACTAGCTGTGTGACCCTGGGCTAGTCATTTAACCCTGTTTGCCAGTAAAATGAACTGGAGAAGGAAACAGCAAACCACTCCAGTATCTTTGCCAAGAAATTCCAAAATGGTGTCGTGACGAGTTGGACATGACTGAAACTACTGAACAACAACATATACTATTTTAGCTATCTTTGGATCTTATACTGTCTACTTTTAAACTCTGAGCTCCATGAAGCCAAGGAAAAGTTTTTAAGTGGTTGTGATTACAAAAATGCCTTGTGAATGACAGTGGCTGGATGATCTCATGACCTCTAAGATAGGTGATCTATAATAGATTTATAAAAAAAAAAAAGGGAGGATATTTTTCTTTCATCTTTAATATCCTTAATCTTTACTTTATTATTCTTAAAATCAGGGATCCCTACCCATCCCATATATATAATAGTGCCCCAATCAATGTCAACAGAAATTGCCTTTTTTTTAAAAGCTCATGTTTAAGATAAGGCTAAATATAATTTGATTTCATATTGTGAGATCTTGGGAAGGAACAAATTGTCTTTTTTCCTAAAATAAGAATATAAAAGTACAATTCTTTAAAAAGCCCTTCATCAGTTAAGTCTCAGGTGAATTACAAGTCACATTTCTATTAAAACAATGTAATTATTTCATGGTACTGAATATTACTCAAATGAGACTATATAAAGGTTAAAACTATTTTGGATAGTTTTGCTGTAATGGTGTTATCTTTAAGAAGATTAGACTAATGAGGCACAAGTTTTATGTTTGCCCACAAGCTCAACCAATATATGCAAATAGTATGTATGTTGCTTGGACTTTTGTGGCTGGTACTTATTTGGTATGAAGTTCAAATGATGTTGTTTGCTCTGTCAGAATTTTATATTGGCACAACTCAGAACTTAAGGCTTGGGCTCTGATGACTCTAAAATCTAGTACAGGACTGAATATTTTAAAAAGTGTTAGGCTTATTTCCAAAAGAAGATAAGCAAATCTGAATCATCAGCCAATCATCAACCATATGGCTAACATGAATTGTCTAAAAGCAAAAAATGCTATTCTCCCCCCCTGCCAAAATGTAAGACATCAAAATCAGCTAAGTAAAATTTTATTACAGTAACATGGCATTAAAAGATTAAATTGAATGCATCTGGAAAGTAGAAAAAAAAATTGAACACAACAAATCAAGTTACACTAACCTTCTTTGTTCACAACCCCATCCGCTTTCAGTGGGAGGCATTCAATTGTATGGACTTGTGTAGTATGCAGTGAGAGACACATGCCAACATAAATGCTGCTCATTATGGAGAAAAGGCAAACAAAAAAACTCCCAAATTAAAGCTTTTTTCCAACACAATGTGAACATATATTATTACTTTCTTCCTTTAAAATGACCAAAAAATGCTTTCTAGTGTTAAACAGAGCCTGACAAAAATGACATATCTGTTTGCCCTAACAACTTTGGTATCTGTACAGCTCAAATACAAAGTTACTTAAAAACAAAATGAGTCTTATATAATTTGATCTGGTCCCATGACTTAGTCATCTATTAAAATGCATCTTTGTTATAAAACTGAAATGGTTTAGCACAAGTTAATCACCACCTTTTCAAAACAATCTTTGAAATTACTAAGGTGAACAGCATAGTGTATTATACTTCATTTTATAAGGCAGATGGCAACTTTCCCTAAATGTCCTGTGACTTCTGCATTCTTCCTGCCCTAGAGTAGTATGTGCACATTATCTAAAAATCAACTGATGTTTAGTTGAGGTAACAAGAAAGAATGAATGCCACTTCAAGTAAGGCTATTTCTTCACTGAAATATAAACTGAGGCATTCTAATAGGTTATCTTCCCAAGAACTACAATGGAAAATCTGTTCTGTGGTGGGAGGCCTAAAACACAGAGAAAAGCATCTTAGCAATCTTTCTAAACATCTTAAGGTCCTTTCAGGAAAAATACAAGGTACATAGCTATTCCCTGGTTCGTGGGGAAAATAATAACTTAAGTTACCCAAGGGACCAAGTCCCTCCTGAGTTTTAGGGATGTCTTTCCTATCAGAATATTCACTTGCTACATTCCTGTTAAATGAACATATTCAGACCAGTTTGGATGCACTACCAAACTTGACTTTTGTTACTGTTTCTGAGTGTTTTATAGCCATTTCCTCATGCTGCCTCAGACATTTTCAGTGGTGTGAGGCACAGTAAACATAATTTTCAAAGACATGAAGAAAAGCCAGTCTTCATCTTGTATATCCTCAAAACGTTTCTTTTTCATGCTCTAGTTCTGAAGGGTGAACGAACACTTGACTAGTACGTTTGAGAAGATAAACTGCAGCATGAAGACCCCCTATGTTCACCCAGACAGTATGCACCTTCCGCCACAAGTGCCCCATTCTGGATAATGCCTGTGTAAACACAGAAAACCACAGCATCCACTTTATTATATTAGCAACGCCCTTGCAATTCACAGAAGTACTAAGCCCCATCTGTGAAAATGAAAAAACCCACATTCCATCTCAGATAACCACACTAGGAATACCCCTACAATATAACTTTAACCAAAGTGAAGTTCTTCTACTTATATCTAAGGACCCACAGGTGAACAATTTAAAGAATAATACCTTGGCAAAGCATTTCCTGTCCTGAGTAAGGAGCACAGCTCGGCCTGTCCCAGGTCTACAGACACGGCTCATCTCCTGGAGACAAGATGGATAGAGATTCCAGTTTCTCTTCTTAGATCCTATCCTACAAAACAGTCAAGGACAAGGACCAACATTTCACTTAACAGCAGATGAAAAAAAAACAAAACAGCCGGTCCTACAAGTGATGAGAAGTCACATTCTCACTGCCCTAAGACTAAGCAAAGCAGGGCTCTTTCACACAGGAGCCAGAGCCATCTCACATGCTAATTTAATTACCAGGGTCAGGGTGCTTAGAAATTGGCTGAATTCTGAAACACTTCTGTATTTTTAAAAAATGATTATTTGGAGATGAATATGTTAACAGCTGTATAACTTAATGTATTAATGCATGTAAAGAGCAATCAGAACAAGGGAGTCTCAGAAGCTAAATGACAGAAAGATACCATTGATTCTGAAGCACCCAGAGGATAAAACAAAAAGTATCATTTAGACCAAGAAGTCCTGACTGTGTATATGTGACTTACCACAATGGGCATTCTACAATTTCTTCTGCACAACTCCTTTTACAAACTCTTATTTTGCCACAACTGACAGAAAAGATATGTTGGGGGGGGGGGGAGAGGGAATTCCTATACAGTGGGTGTTGAGGAAACAGTGAGGTAGCACTCTTTCTCTACTGTTTCTTTTAATTTCCATTTGCTTTTTCTATCATCACAATGAAACCTCTATTTCTTTGCTCTTTTTCTTATATTAGGAGCCATGTTTTACCTGCAAAGTATCTTATAAGGCATCTACATAGGTCAGTGGATAGAGTGCTAGTTCTAGAGTCAGGAAGACTTGAGTTCAAATGTGAGGTCTGCCACTTACTAGCTCTGTGACCCTGGGCAAATCACTTAACCTCTGTTTGCCTCTATCTCCCAGGATTATTGTGAGGATGAAATGAAATATTTGTAGAACACTTTGAAAATCTTAAAGCACTGTAAATACTAGCTATTATTATCTCCACCAGTATAAGCTTTGTTATTGATCTTTAATTGCTTATCTCATTATCTCTCAAATGATGAAGAGAATATGTTTTAAATTTAAATTCCTCCATGTGGCCTGAGAAGAGGGATGTTTATAATCTTCCTAAATTTCTGAATTATAATCTGAGAGCATATATTTTTATACCAGAATAAATTACTGCATCTTCCAAATGGAGACCATTCATTTAACATCTTCAGCTCAAGTGCAAAAGAGATTATCTCTTCTGGCTTGTCCTTAATTTAGAACAAGTCTTGGGAAATATTGCTGTATTAAAATGACTTATGATTGTTCTTATTAAAAAAAAAAAAAAAAGAAAGCAATGTGACCCAAGTGTCAGCACCAGAAACTATCTTTTGGTTTTATACAGTCAGTGAATTACTGATTTACATGAAAAAGAGCTCTACTGACCAACTATGTTAAGAAAGCATAATATTTTTTCTTAGTTGTAGCTGTGAATAAATACAAGAAAAATAACAGAAAACCATTTTCCTTTAGACTTGTGGGTGCTACCTTAAGAATTGAACACTCAACAACTTCTGTATTTCTTCCTGATATCCTACCTCTTTCCAAATGGCATATCTGTGACAATAATATCCACAGAACCAGTCCTCAAAGGCAGATTGCAGATATCCCACTGAATAGCATCTATGGGCAGGCCCCAGAATGCTTTGCTGTGGAATGAAATGAAAGATCTTTTAACATAGCTGAAGGTAGGAAATTCAAAATTAAACTGGATCCACACGTTGCATATTTACTGTGTTTGCAGAGAACCACACTGGAAGTGATTTGCAAGTTTTATTTTTACCTTTCTTTAACTTGACTCTTTGTCAGTAATGACAAGATGTTATTTGCTGCTCTTTTCACGGCCAGGGGATTATTATCACCAGCAATATGATAACAATTAGGCCATTCGGCAGCCCCCTAAAAACCAAAAGCAAATATTGTAAATTCATAAATGGAAAAAAATGGGTTAAAGGATAAGCACTTTCAACATTCTGGTCATGTTCTTCAATAAACAAAGCATTATTATTTAGTAGAAATAAAACCTTATCTAATTCCTCTTTATCTTAATTAGATCAAATACAGCCTATATTGATAGTGATGGAAAAGTTTACATTGTAAGTATTTGAAAAAGTCTCTATACCATGCCATTTCTTTTTTTGTAGGGTTTGTTAATGCTAACTTACAAACACTGTAAGGATTTCTCTCAAGTAAAAAATCAAATTAGAAAAACATGATTACTATATTAGGTTTGACCAATGGTCAAAGACATTTCACCCTCTAGGAAATCAACTTCAGAAGCAAGGTGTGTGCAGTAAACTGCCCTTTCTTTTGTAATCAGTGACAGAGCCACCACTCATGACACCTTTCTTGAGCCTATTCATGCTTTCAGCATTTACCACTGTGGAGTGGAAAAAGCACTAGTCTTGGATTCATTAGATAAGATTTTCAAATGCTGGCTCTGCCACTGCTACTAATTGTGTGCCTTTGAGTTGGAGAGAGAATTAATGGTGTTACTGGTAAAATGACAGGTTTGGAGGTCGATTCTCTCTAAGGTCACTTTAAGCTTTAAAATTCTGTGACTAATGAGAGCTATCACATCACTGCTCATAATATACTTTTAGTAGTTCTAAAAGTTACCTTTTTATATTTCTAAAAGTTACCTTTTTTCAAGCTTCAAAAGGCTTTGCCAAAGATAAAAGTATTTTAGAAACTGTGTTATTGACATTATCAGTAGCACCCTTCAGGATTTTATGAACTCAAACTATACCTCTTTTACCCTTTACCCTTTTCAAGGATGGAACCCTAAGTTTCTTAGTCTGCCCTTATATAGAATTCCATTAATTCCCTTATCACTTTAGTTGCCTCTTATAGATCTTTTGCCATTTCTGTCAAAGGGAAGTGAACTAGAGCTATACAGAATATTTGACAGGCTGACACACCATACATAATTGAATATACTTTTTGATGATATTTAAAATTTTTTATTTCTGTCTTTAGGAGCTCATGCTTTTAGGAAATAGTCTATAATGATTCATTGCTACCTCTTTTGGATTTTAACAGGGAGTTCAGGGCTGACTTTCCTGTAATTATAATCTAGGATACTTCTTAAATGGGTAAATTTCCTACTGACACTTGATTATCCTCCTCCTCCTCGTAGCCTTATGTGATTTTCCTGTTGTTGATTCTCAATGGTTTGAGATTTTTCCACATGGAAGAATTTACTATTCCCTGAAAACCACAGCATATTATATATATAATGCTTTCTCCTAGATAATATCTAAGAATATGAAATGAATAATGAGTCTGACACTGACTAGGAGCGGCAACCACATTCATACTACTCTGTTCTGCAAGGTTCCTCACCTTTTCTTCCTAGTTTTTGAGCAAGTTCAACTTTACATGCATTTAATGAGCACCTACTACATATAAAAGCACTGTCCTACATGCTAGGGATATAATTACAAAATTGAAAAACAGTCCTAAAAAGCTTTCTACTATGTGGAAAGGGATAGAACATTAAAAACTCAGAGGTTTACAAAAGGTTTCCTGTAGGAAGTAACATATAATGTGAAACGTTAAGGAAGCCAGGAATTCTAAGAGACAGAGTATGGAGACAGTATATTGCATGCATGGAGACAAACTGGCCACAGGCAAAGAGGTAATAGGATGTTGAGTTTAAGGAACATCAAACATGGGGTAATTTGGCTAGGATACAGCTATATAAAAGGCAAAGATATGAAATAAATCTTTACAGGTAGGGTGTAAAAAGGCTTTTTTAAATACTAAAGTGAATGGGGCAGCTAGGTGGCGCACTGGATAGAGTACCAGCCTTGAAGTCAGGAGGACCTGAGTTCAAATCTGCCTTCAGACCAAACACTCGACACTTACTAGCAGCTGTATGACCCTGGGCAAGTCACTTAACCCCAATTGCAAAAAAAAAAAAAAACCAAAACAAAAAAACCCCAAAACCTAAAGTGAAACATATGTATTGTATCCTAAAGGTGATAAGAAGTTATTGATTATTCTTGAGCAGGACAGTGACATCGTTGAACCTGTTTTAGGAAGAGTATTTTTGAATCTATGTGGAAGATGGAAGGAATTATCTCAAAACATTTCTTCTTCCTTTATTTTATGGTAATTTCACTTTTCAAGAACCTTTTCATGTGGAATCTTTCATACACTCCAATCTAAAACATGTCTAAAGGGTTTCTCCCTACAAAGAACTCATTAAAGTGTGCCCTTCCTGGCTGAAGTCGTGCCAGCTTTTTCAATAAATAGATTATGCTTATGTGTTCAATGCTATCAATTCTATCAGTGTATAAACTATGTAAGTATGAAGCTCACGCTCAGGGACTCCTCTGGAGCCCTTATTATGCTGGCAATTTACTAATTCCTTGGCACAGTACTTAAACTAACTTTATATATTTTGGCCAATAATGCTACAGGTTCCATCCAGAGCTCCTTTCAAACTATAGGGTTGAGTCACTCAGTTTTGTTGCTTTATTTATATTCATATATAATATTCAAAAAGTATATAATGTGTGGTGATGTCATAAACAGAAGAACAAGGAAGAAAATACCTTTCTGATCTATTAAAAGAGAAAAGTTCATGAACATATAAGGGATGGAGTTTCACAGATGGCACAATGTACAATTTTGATTATATAAAATTAACGAGTTTTGCACAAACAAAACCAATGCAGTTAAAATTGAAAGGGAAACAGGAAACTGGGGGAAAAAATCTTTGCAGCAAGCTTCTCAGATAAACTTATATTTCTCATATCTCCAAGACATGAAAGAAACTGATTCAAATGTATAAGAATAACAGCCATTCCCCAATTGGTAAATGGTCAAAGTATATGACCAGGCAGTTTTCAGAGGAAGAAATCTAAATGAGGAAGAAATCTAAACTATCATTAGCCACATGAAAAAAATGTTCCAAATAACTAAAAATGCAAAATTAAAACAACTTCGATGTTTCACTTCACTGCCCTCAGCTGAGCGAAGTTCACAAAAAAAGAAAATTATAAATGTTGGAAGCACACTGTATATACTGTTCATGGAGGTGTGAGTTGATCCAGTTATTCTGGAAAACAATTTGGAACTATACCCAATAAAAGTATGTATGTTCTTTGATGCAGCAATACCAATACTAAGTCTATATCCCAAAGAAACAGGAAAAGGATCCATATTAATGAAAATATTTATAGAAGCTCTTTTTGTGGTTGCAAAGAACTGAAAACTAAGGTGGTGCTTATCAACTAGGGAATGGCCAAACATTACAACATATGAATGTAATGTGATGTACTGTAACATAAAAAAATGATGAAAGGTATGCTTTCAAACTTGGGAAGACTTGTATGAACTGATGCAGAGTGAAATGAGCAAAATAAGAACAATTTATACAACAATACTGTAAAAACAAAGAACTCTTCTAAATGCTAAAGTACAGAATCTGTAGTGTACTCTAAGGGAAGAAGTAGTTAACTGAATATTCCTGAGGAGAATGACATCATCAAATCTGTGCTTTAGGAAGAGTATTTTAAGAAATTAAGAACTGTTACACAATGACGAAAGTCATTCTTGACCAGTGGTGTCAAACTCAAAATAGAAATGGGGGCCACTAAACTGGACGTAAAAGATTTTTATGGGTGCATATTGACTATTTTTATTTATTCTTTTAAATATTTCCCAATTGCATTTTAATCTTGTTCTAGCCATAGTCAAGAGCCACTTCTGGTCAGACACCTCTGCTCTAGAGGATCAATGGAGCCCATTAGCCAGAGAGGGAAGATAAACTTAGGGCATAAGGAGACAGTTTTTCAACAAGGCCAATGCAAGAATTTGTTTTACTTGACTATGACTTTATGTAACAAGGATTTTGTTTTCCCTTTTTTTTTTTTTTACCAGTGATGGTAGGGGTGGAAGGGGAGAGAAAACTGAAAAAAGAGAATAAGAATCTTATGTCTTTACCACTACTCAATTCCAAAGCTAGATAAAAGTTATTACCTCTATTGGTATGGCACCTGTTCCACACATTGGATCTATTATTATGTCAGTAGGCTGAGGAGAACAGAGCCTAGAAAAAAGAAGCATATAGTCTAAGGGAAAAGAATTTTTAAAAAGCAGGGACTTATAAAATGAATCTATGAAAAGCTACAGTAGCAATACACTAAAATTTTTCTTTAAAAAATTTTAAAAAAATTTTGTGCAAAGGAAAGGCTCCAAATGCATCAAGATATTTATAGCAATACTTCTGTGGTAGCAAAGAACAAGAAATCACGTGGATGCTCATCAATTGGGGAACTGTGGTATCTGAATATAATGGAACATCACTGTGTTGAGATAAACAATGAACATAATGAATACTGAGAAGCATGTAAAGACTTACATGAACTGATACAAAGTGAAGTATGCAGAACCAGATAACAGTACACATGATGACTTGCAACAATGTAAATTAAAAGGACAAGCACTTTAAGACAATCAAAATGCAAAAATTTAAAAACAAGCTTGGCCTCAAAGAAGAGATAAGGAAAGAGACCTTCCCTCTCATTGCCCACCCCACCCCACTTCTGTAAGGGAGGGGAGTTCATTAGTGTAGAATATTGCATATAATGTCAGGTTTTTTATGTTGATTAGTTTTGCTTAATTTTTCTTTTTTTTAAATCTTTATTGAAAAGAGATAGTTCTCCAGGAGGGGAAGAAGGACAGATACAGGAAAAACAAAAAATATCAATTAAAATATATTACTAAAAATTATGCTTATGTCTAATTTTAAAGAAAAAGTGGGTTTATTAGAAAACATTGAGAATTTCTCAGTGAATTCTGTAAAAAACATAAACACATAAAACACACAGAAAACTCTTGAAGACAACAAAAATAATCTTATGTTAAATATGTATTTTTAGAATAACGAAGCAAATTTCAAATGACTATGAACAAGACATTAATTCAAGATTCAACAGTGCCCTTTAGACAAGGTCTTAATTTAAACATCCAGGACAGGATGAGGATGGTAGAGGGCCTTGAGTCCAAGTCAGCTCAAGGACCTGGAGATATTTACCTAGTAGAAGAGAAGATTCAGAGGGGGCATGATGACTGTCTTTAAGTATATGAAGGGTTATCAGTGGAGGAGGGGTTAGCTTTGTTCTGTCTGCCTTTAGGTCAGACCCAGAAGCAATGGGTGGAAGTTACAAAGATGTAAATTTAGAGTTGATGTCATGAAAAACTGCTAATAAATACATATGTCCAAATGGTATGGCCTGTCCAGAGACATCTCCCTTCTTGGAGATGTTCTCTACATGTCTGGTTTTTTATAGTGGAGATTCCTTTCATGCATGGGTTGCATTACACAACTACTGGTCACTTCCAATTCCCAAATCCTACAATTCTGTGACTTTAAATAAATGATATATGTGCCTTAACAGGAAACAGATTACATATACTTATTGACTGTTTGATGAGTAAAGCTTAAGCAGAAGCAGTCAGTCAATGAGCTGATGTGCATAGACATATGTCATGTAGCCACACCCCGAAGAACACAGGTTGAAAATTTACAACTGTCAAAGAATCACAAATTAAGCGTTGCAGGATATGAGGAATGAAGGTGTCTTTCCTGAGCAAATGACCCCATTTTTCTGTTGCATAAGCCAAGATCAAATCATGAATTGTATAGCATGACATGGGCCTCAGTTCTCTAATCATGGAATTAATCTATAAAGAGGTGAAGTAAGAAAGAAAGCAAATATAAGGAAAAAAGGAAGGGGGTTACCCACAGGGAGAGAGAAAAATAGGATTGACACTGAAAATTGCCATGTCCCATATGGAAATGTAGTTAATTAAATAGCTTGCTCTACTAATCTCAAAGGACCCCATAGGGTTTGTGAAGATCAAATGAGATAGTAAGTGAAAACACTTTGAAAAGTAGAAGTCACTAAGCAAATGAATATTAATTCTTTCATCATGACCTACTGTCCATAAAGCACTCTATATGCAGTGCTGGCTCAATAGTTAGCACAGAATTTAGAAGTCTCTACTTAAATTATTACAGCACTAAAATAGAAATAAAATAAAATTTACAATAATTTCAAATAAAATCCAGTCCTATGCTAATTTTCCAAAAAGAAAACAGGCACTCTTATTCAGTATCTAGATAGATGTGGAAAAATATATTATTCCTATCTTATGAAGAAAGTGGTTCATTGACTATTCAGAATTGCAAGTAGTAAATGCTAGATTTAGGAAAAGAATATAGATGTTCAGCTTTTAATTGTGCTAGGGCTACTATTATACTATGACTATAATAATCCCCTATTAAAATCCTCTTTTGATGCTTCAGTGTGGTGTAGTAGCAACCATGGCCATAACAGTGGAGTACAAATTCTCACAAGTTCTCTCATAGTGAAAAGACTTAGTGAACAAACTGCATGTTTGTTGTCCCAGAATCACCTCCAGCTCAGAAACTTTACAGAGTGATGGATTTTTAGCTAAAGACACCCTTAAAGACTATGTTTATAGAGGAGTTGTGAATTGCTTTAGTGCTGTGTACTCATTAGTGATTCCAGCCCAATGTTGTCACCCAATCTGCATGTCCAACCCACTCACTTACCTGAGCATGCCATAAGCAAGAGTGGATCTTAGAGTTGTAGGACCAAAATGGGTAATATTTCTTCGATGGAGACTCTCTTCTGTCAATGCAATGCCCACAACTATTTCATTATTATGGACATTCAAGAGAACCTAGGATACAATTCACCAAGATAAATCAAAAGGATTTTAAGCATGTTCAAACTGTAAACATCAATGAAACGAGTCCATGTTTCAAATCTCTGTATCTTGGTTAATCTGGAATAGCAGGAAAACGTATAAAGCACATTTCTGTGTATGATGTTAATGGAGCTGAAAGTATGTGAAGGGACCACTCATAATAATAGTAAACAAAATTTTACAGAACTATATTCTAAATTTTTGAGCCTAAAAGAACACCATCTCAAAATACTCTTACTGTAGATATTTTTTCTCCAGAGTATAAGCATTTTATCTCATTCATTCTCACAGCAGCACTATGGAAGACATGGGTCAATTAAACCTAACTCTTGGTTTTACACACCCATAGACTCTATCCACTAATGAAAGTTCTCATAACTCTTAAGTCTGACCTATGGCACCACCTCATTCTTTGGTTCTTTCAGCCTCACCACAAATCAATTAATTCCTTAGACAGCACAGGAATAATAGAATCATAGCTGGAAAGAACTTCTAAGGCTCACCTCCCTCCCTAGTATGTGAGGCCTCTCTATAACATCTCAACAAAGTTTTGTCTCACTACATCCAATGATGGAAACCTACTGCCTCGTAAGGCAACTCACTCTATTTTTGGAAAGGCCTAGGTTAGAAAGGCCTTCCTTTTATTGAGTTGTGATGACTATAGCTCATGGTGCTTTCCACATCCCAAGAGGTAAGCAGTGATAAAAGTAACTACTTATATTTATCTAAATAAATAAAATATGTTTATAGAAGGAAGTGAGCCTCAGAAATCACTTTTTCACATCCACATAGCAAGGAAGTAGCAGAGGCTACTTTTGAATACAGGTCTCCTGAGTTCAAATCCAGTGTTCTTTTCACTATATCTCATGTTGTCTACCTTTAACTTCCATGAATCAGACCTTTTCTGTTCTCTGAATCTACAAAAATTAAGTCTTCCTCAAATATGTGAAGATAACTATCATGTTCTCAGGAAATATTCTTGACTGCAGGTTATAAACATTACTTAGTTCCCCATATATGGCATGGCTTTGACACCATCCAGACTGTCACCCACTCCAGGACATCCTTCCAGATTAGCAGTGTCTCTCTTTAAATGTGACAACCAAAACTGAGCACAATGTTCCCCATATGGTTTGACCAATGTATAGGGGGACTATTACTTTCCCTATACTCAATACTGTACTTTTATTAACGTAGCCTAAGATTACATTCACTTTGGGGGCACTAACATTACACTTCTGACTTGTACTTAAATTACATAGTTGATTTTTTAAGTTAAATTTATTTCTATAAAATGTTATTTTAATAATTTTGTCTCATCATTCTAGTCTGTTGAGAGTGTATGGGATTCTAATTTGGTCATTCAATGAATTAACCATCTGGTCTACTATGTATCAACTGCAAATCTGATATGTAGATCATACATGTTTTCATCCAAGTTACTGAGGAAAATAATAGCTGGCACTTACATGGTACTTTTACTAAGTACTTTACATATATTATTTGATTTGATCTTCCTAACAGTCATGTGAGATCAGTAGTGTAAGTATTACCGCCCTCATTTACAGAGAAGGAATCTGAAGCTTGAGGTGGTAAAATGACTGTCCAACATCACACAGCTAATAAAACGTAGAATCTGGACTTGAACCAGGTCCTCTCATCCAGCTGTGTCAATACAGGAGGTAACCTGGCATAGCTGAAATACTAGATTATAAGTTAGGAAGCTATTTCTTTCCAGACCCGGCTGTCACTAAGTAGTCATATGACATCCCTGGGCCTCAAGTCTTTTCCAACAAAAAAAAAGGAGTTGAACTAGATGTCCTTTATGGTCCCTTCCAAAGCTAACAATTCTATGACTCAAGAACCCTGAATTTTTTAAATAGCCACAATCCTAACAGTCCCTTGCTATACAACCACAAAAATTACACCCAATCTGCAAAAAGATACATTGTACCTCCACATCAAAGTTGGTCATGTCAGCCTTCCATTTGAAATAATCCTGAACAGCTCCCCCAAAATCTCTTGCTGCTTCATTGGATGTAAAGCAATGGTTTTCGCCTGCCCTGTTGCATGTGACTCGGAACTTGAGCACTTGAGATTCAGTTTCCTCTTTGGGGCTCTCATTAACTCCTTTTTCCTTCTCAATGGCAGATGGTATTTCAGATATTTTTTTACTGTAAGCTAATATGGGGGTTTCACCAATGGTGTCATCTTGATTTTCAATGGTTTCTAAGACCTCCTCCACAGTATGACTGGTGATCTGCTTCTCAGCTCCCATGTCTCCTTGTTCATCATCCACCTTTTCTTTGTTTATACTATTTTGCTGAGTTAACTTTTTACGTTTTGTCTTTTTTTTCTTAAAGCTGGTATTGATTTTCCATACTTTTAAAGGGTCTGACCAAGGAAGCTTCCCAGCCAAATCTTCAAAATCCTTTAGAACATCTTCCTTAAAAAAACAAACAAACAAAAAAAAGAAAAACAAAATCCAGGCATTTCTTGGGCACTTCCATTTAAGCCACAAGTAAGCACTATTCCAAGCATCATGTGAAACATAATCACTGTTCTCAAAGAGCTTATAGTCATTGGGAAAACAAGATATACACACATGAAATAACTAAATAACAGTTCAAGGTAGTAGATGATTAATGCCCATATCAATGCCATAAATAGTGTTCTAGAAGTCAGAAGAAGTGATTAATGCTGCCTAGAGTACCAGGGAAAGCTTTCTTTGGCACGTATGAATTTGAGATGGGTCATGAAAGATAGGATAGGATCTAATACTTTGAATTTTAGAAACATGGAATCATTTGGATTACCTAGATTTTTGTAACATATCTAAAGAACAAACTATTGTGAAGTTCTAAGCAAGAGGACCAAGAAAAGAGTTGCAAATAGGGAGGAAGGGAAGGAAGAAGAGGTGAAGAAAGGAAAGAGAGAGGGAAGAGAGGAAGGAAGGAGGGAGGAAGGAAGAAAGGACTCTCCATAGGGGAGCTGCCACAGGAAAAAATATAGCAGAAAACCAGCTCCTCGTTCTCTCGTCTGAGTATGGCATACCTCGGTCCTACTTCCTGATCCACAAAGTGGAAGCTACAGCAACTACAGAAACAGAAAGTTGCTGGAACTACTGAGCATATGTGAGGGTCCCCCACTAAGGATTTTCTCCAGCTACCGTACTATTTCAGCCTCCCTTAGTGTTGATTCAAACAGTCTTCTGCAACCCTCAGCAGGCTGATATTCATGAGCTCATCAAGCCCCAGTGCTCTAGGCAAGAGAAAGCAGGGAGCAGAGAAAGACCAGCTGTGAGGCCTGCTTGAGTACTATCTGGGAACAAAAGGAAGAGAGTTATGTTCTTTCTGACAAGAAAGTTGAGCTCCCTCTCAACATCTCAAAAACAGCTACAAATATAAAGCTTAAGGAAGCCAAACAACATGAATTCAAAGAAAAGTAAGTAAATTCCCAAAAGGAAGTCCCAACAGGAAAAATAAAACAGCAGAGAAGCTGAGGGAAAAAAAAAGATCAAACAAAGAAACTAACACAATGAAGAAATACTATGAGGTAAGATAATTAGACTACAACTATAGAAAAAGAGTAATTCAGAAATAACTACACTAGGATCCCAGAAAAGTGAATTGAACAGCCACCAGAACTCCAATCATGGGCACCTAACAAAGGAACTGAAGGAAAAGATAAGTAATGAAACTGCAACCCTTAATAAAAAACCTAAAAGGAAAACCAACACTTTTGAACAGAAGCCTAAAGCTCTTAATGTAGTTACAGACTCCTAGGGAAAAAAAAAATTTATAGAAATTATGGAATTACAAAATTCACTGATTCATTAAAAAAATTTGAGTATTGTCAAAAGATAAAATTGGAACAAGTTGTCAGTAACTTAAGGTTCAGTAAATTTTAGTTCCCAGTAGTCCCCCAAAAAGGGCAGGCTATTCAAATCTGTTTCCTGAATAATCAAAAACAGTAGAATTCTATTATTAGTATCAAATACTGTCAATTTAGGACCATCTTCAAGATATACCTCCTATAAGAACTTTAAATTACAGATTTTCCTTGTTACCATGCCAGATACATCACTATGTATTCAGGGAGCATGATTTGCCTGTTGTATTAACAGTTTGAATTCTATTTTAAGTAAAATTCAGAGTTAAGATTTTTGCAATTTTTTGCACAGTCACAATAATTTTCCCTTCCGTAGTCTTGAAATTTTATCTTGATCCTGATCTGTTCTCCCTTTTCTAATCCAATTTAGAACTTTTCCTGTAGTTAGCTATGAGGCAGTTCTGTAAGTTAGTCAAAGCTTCATAGGAAACATAGGAACTCTGCTTAAATCACAATCTATCTCCTAAGAGTCCAAGCAATTTGTTTTTATTTTCTATAAACTTTATTTCCCAATGTCCTTACTAAAAGCTGACTTCTGGAACAGAACTGTCAGTAAACCTCAACCTTTTGAATATAATTTAAAAGCCCCCATATAATTCCAATTTATAAATGAACACAATGATGTCACTTAATGCATGAACTGAAAAAGACTCCTTAAAAAAAAATAATTTTGGATAACTCACCTTGGTTTCTTTGAACTGATAATCTCTAAACTCCTGAACAACAACAAATAAATTATCAACTGATCTTAGACCATGAACCTGAAAAAGAAATGTTTTAGATTAATTTCTGAGTAAGCTTATTTGTTCAAAAAATATTTGCTTTGTGCCTACTATGTGCAATGCAATATAAGACGCACAAAGGCAGCTATGAGGCCTTCTTTGAAGGAATTTAGTCTAGTGGGGAAGAGATAAGCATCTACCCAAATAAGTTTAATATAAAGCATAATGTAAAAAAAAATTAGTAAGAAAAGTTCAAAATATTATGTAAGCTGCAAGCTAAGCTGTCAACACATCAACAAGATATTATTTCATCAAGGCGCAGGTACTGCTTATACAATTCAATAAATGGTTGGTTTTTTTTTTTAGTAAATGCAGCCAAAAAGTTCATCAGCCTATAACTTAACTTGAAATAAGCTCCTCAGAATTTAACTAGACTAGTTCTCTAACAATGCAGAAATGCAATCCAACACCAAGTCCATACTTGAAACCTTTCTAGATTAGTAGGACCTGCCAGAGCTTGCATTCCAATGGCATTGCCTTTGAATTCAATCACCTCCATGACACCATGAGGCACTGGAAGAGGACAATTTAGTAGAGGAATTTTAAACTGTTAAATCTAAACAGGTTTGGTGGTTACAAAGCTATCTTCATATCCTCTAACAAAAACTTAAAAATACAACCTAGTTCCCACTTCCTTGGTTACCAAGCTGCTTTTCCCAACGGAAGTTGAGGGTAGGTGGCAGTGGCAGGTAGCTAGAAGACTATATGAGCAAAGGGTCAGGTTGGAGAAGTCAGGGCTGTGGCCTTATTCTCTTCATAATCATCTACAGCAGTATGCACAGTTTTATGAACTCTCATATGTCCACTGTGATTCACAATTACTTTTTCCAAAAATTCTGTTATCTATCAGATTCACTAATATATATTATCATTTATTTCTCCTTTTATACCTGAGAACTAATAGTTGTAATCAGGATAAGAGATGAATTCTTGGGCACTATGCTAGACATCTAGAAATGTTTCTAAAGACTTCTGACTTATTTTGAAAATACACTACAGTGGGAAAAATATTGGATTTGAAGGAGACTTGGGATTGAATCCTAACTCTGCAACTTATTTGTGACATTGGACAAAAATCTCTTTGGGTCTCAGATTTTTTATGTGTAAAATGAATGAATTAGATCTCTGATACTGCCTATGTGAACTTGGACATGTAATTTATTTCTGTTGGTCTGTTTCTCATTTTTAAAATGAGGCAATAAGACTAGATGGCCTCTAAGGTCCTTTCTAGTTCTATAGCCTATGATTTAAATGAAAATATTTCCCAGTTTTTATATCCATAAGACTATTGATCTCCTTATTACAAATCAGTACTTAATTTTGAGGGCAGCTAGGCATCACAATGGATATAGTCATGGGCTTGGAATTAGGGAAATTCACCTTCATGAGTTCAAACCCAGCCTCAGACACTTACCAGCTGGGTGACCCTGGGCAAGTCACTTACCCTGTCTCCCTCTAGTTCCCCATCTGTAAAAATAAGCTGGAGAAGCAAATGGCAAATCACTCCACTATCCCTGCCAAGAAAACCCCAGGTCATGAAGAGTTGGATATAATTGAACAACAACACATAATTTTAGGGGAGGCCTAGGCTTGTGATTAGAGTAAAGAACTCCAAATAAGCAACTATTTTTCCTCTTATTGAGAAGTCAGTCACAAGAATTACTTGTCTAGGGCTACATTGTTAGTATATGTCAGAAGTAGGATATGACTCCAGGGCACATCCTTTATCCACTCACATTAATCTTTCAAAGAAATAATTTAAAATAAATGACTTAGAACAAAAGAAGGATACTGGATGATGGCAGACTGGAATACGTATTAGTTTAGAAAAGTATTTTAAGTAGTATATATGCAAACCTTAGATAGACTCTCCACTGAAATGTCAAAGTATATCTTGCCTCTGTCTTTGCTGATTCTGGACTGTGAGCCCAGTTTCTCCCTTACTTCATCTGCAGCAGTCTGCTCAAAGCCAGTTGGCACAGTGGCTCCAATGGTAACAGAGAGATACTCGGGACTGTCACTGGGGGAATTTTCTACATTTTCTGAGGCAGGCTTCTGTTTCTCATCAAGGCTCACTTCACTGAGCTGGTCAGAAGCTCCTTCGACTTCAGACATACTGGGACCTCTTCAAACTGTCAATACTGCTCCTCACCAGATGTGCTGAAAAGAAAAATATTATCTAAAGAGCTGTAACGGCTGCACTGAGTCTCATGGATAGAGGTGGGGGGAGGGTTAAGACCAGAGGCCATGCACAGAAGGGTAACGGGAGAAATATTTTTCATCGAGTCAAAAACACTGTATTTGCAAAACAGCGAGATGGAAAGGAAGTAGCAGAGTGGGGGTGAGAGGCAGAGGCTAAAGGTAGACAGACAAGATACAGGGAAATAGACATGTGTAAGCCCTCACTACAAGATCTGCGGTTGGTGTTTTGTTGTTTTTTAACATAATGAGTATAACGACAATATTATCCCAGTTTGCAAACAGGGAAAGGGGGGGAGGGTCATGGATCCTGATGTAAAAGGAACTACAACAGCTACTTTGGATAGTTCCAAGAACGGGATGAAGGCTTCCCGAAGCGTCCCCCTCAGCAGCACCAGGGGCTGGGCTAGGTGGGCTAGGTGACCGCGGAGATCCCCGCCCCGCACCCGACAGATAGGGGCGGGGACTCAGCGAGGCCCGGCGTGGGGAGCGGCTGCGGCCGGCCCGGGTCACCTTGAGATCAACGGCTGCCCCGCCCCCCGCGCCCCCCCATTCCCCCCCATCTTCCCCTCAGGAGGAAGACTCAGCCGTGGCGGCGAGGTACACCCGCCATTCTCTGGCGCCCGCCCCCCCACCACCGCGATCCCCTCCCCCTGGAGCCGCTCGCGGGCACCACGCGGCGGCGTGACCGCGCCACGCGACACGGGGGAAGAGAGAGAGGCCGACGGGCGTGGGAACCCGCGACCTTAGCGGCCCAGCCGCTCGGCCTCCCTCCTTCACTCCACCTCTGTCCAGCCCCGACAGCCCCGTCTGCCCCGTTACCGGCTGGTGGCGCCTAACGCCCAACGAACCCCGCAGAACTCCTTCCGGCTAGGCAGCGGGTGGAGCAGGAGTGCTTCCTGGTCACGCCGGAAGCGGAAGTTTCGCATTCTTTTCCGACTTCTCGCACCCGCCCGTTCAAGCTTCCGCATTGTAGTTGGAGTCGAGGTTTGCTGGGCTCCCTGGAGGCTCGCAGTGCAGAGGTAGCACCCCGCCGCGAGCTGTCGCCGGGTCTCGGGGTCATGTGGGCTGAGGAATCTTCTTCACGACTTCCAGGGGGCTTGCGGGGAGCCCACCACCTTTGGGGGAGCTCCTCTCGCCTAGGAGTTTCCCCTGACGGCCAAAATACGCTTCTTAGGTTTTCACCCTCCATTTTGTTCTCGGGTAGAACAGAACAAGCCCAACCGTTCTTCCGCATGGCAGCTATGCAGAGCGTTTGTTAAGTGCTTGTTAAGTGCCAGATCCTGAGCTAAGCGCCGGGATGCAAATACAAACAAGCAAGAGCGGCCCTGCTCCCAAAGCGGGCCAGACCACGCGGGAAGGGGCCGGGGGTGTTTCCGCGTATTGTAACGGAGGGGGCGGGGCCTCTTGCCTTTCCCGCCTTCTCCGCCGGGATCCCGGGTCTCCTGGCCGACCTGGGAATCGGGCATTCCCGTCTCTTGGCTCTGGGGCTTGGAGCCTCTCCTCCACTGGAGCAGGAGCTTTCTTTAAGTCCCACCTTCTGCAGGAAGCCTTAATTCTGGTGCCTTCCCCTGGGTGATTATCTCCTATTTATCCTACCTGTAGCTTTCCTTTTTCATGTTTGCTTGTCTCTGCTATTAGATTGTGAGTTCCATGAGGGCTAGGGCTGTCTTTTGCCTCCTTTTGTATCCCCATCGTGTAGCACTGTACCTGGCACATAGTATTCGTTTAATAAATGTTCATTCATTGATTGAAAAAACAAAACCAACTTTTGTTTTCTTTGAACCCTTGAAATCCTTTATAGAAGCTAGGTTGTATGTCAAGCTATTGCTAGCTTTTCTTTAACAATTTTTTAGGATGGAATGGTCACTTTTCCCAAGGTTCCCATCATTTTTCTACCTAGCAATTTCATGTTGATGAGAATCACAACGACAATAGAATTTCCTCTTGTTAATTCCTCCACCTTTAGAAGGACGTCTTTATTGAAGCAACAGAAGAAATAATCAATTGCTCTGCTTTTGCCAGAGAGCATCAGTATATGATCAAATAATTGAAATCTCCTATCACCAATATATCATGTCCCTGACAGGCTTAATGATCTGTTTCCCAAATTCGACATCTATTTCCTTTTTATGCTTAGTTGGTGCATAATATGTGCCGATGACAATGTTGCTTCCATTATGCCTCCATGAATCTTCATCCAGATGTTCCAGGACTTCCTCATAAGCATATATTCATCGTTTCCCTCCTGTTTTACCCACCGCTTTCTTTGAATAATAAAATATAACCTTCCAGAGCCCTATTCTAGTCATAAGTTTCACCCCTTAAGTCTCAGTGATACCTGTAATACCAAATTTTCCTCCTTTTCTTAGCCTCTAGTTCCCTTCCTTACTCATGTTTTGTGCGTTTGCATATAGATACCTGAAGCTATAAGTTCTATTTGTTTTTTGGATTTTTTATTCCTGTGAACTTATAGCTGTGTTTATTGACATTCTTCCCACATTGTAGCTACTTTGTACAATATGTACCTTGTCTATACATACACAAAGCTCAAAGGGCCCTTAGATATCACCTAGTTGAACTTAATTTTACTGTGACCTGGGAAGATCCTTGGGGGCTTGGGCTTTGGAGCTCAAGTTTCTGGTTTCCAGTTCAGGGCTGTGAATTCCACATGTGAACCTAATGAATGTTAACTGCTTAGTGGACAAAATGGATAAGTAAATTATTTTTGCTTTCTTAACTAACTAGTAACTTGGTGATTTCACCTATCAAACTCAGTTTCTTCATTTACAAAAATGGGAATAATAAAATTTGGAATTCTTCTTATCTCTTGTGAGGCAGGCTACAGGGTTCTTTTGGGCAGTGAATTTCTTCCTGTGAGTAATTTCACTGAACGCAAATATCCTCTGAAGGTAAAAGTTATTGCTTGGTATGAAGTTTCACATGATGGACTGAGAGCAGAAGGAGATGGTCAAAGAAAAGATTGAGGGGGGAGAAGGAGGAGTGATAGTGGTATGGAAGGGCAGATAGGTGCCACAGTAGATAGAGCACTGGGCCTGGAGTCAAGAAGACCTGAGTTCAAATGTGGCCTCAGATACTTACTAAAGTTGTATGACCCTGAGCACTTACCCCTGTTTGCCTCAGTTTCCTCATCTGTCAAATGAGCTAGAGAAGGAAATGGCAAACTAATCCAGTATCTTTGCCAAAAAAAAACAAAAAACAAAAACCGGAAAACAACCAAATGGAGTCACAAAGAATGGGACATGAGTGAACAACAAAAGGGAGATGAAAACATGCAAAAGAACTTGGACTAATAAGGTAGAAAAGAAATTGCAATCAGATAATGTATTGTTTAGAAATTTTTTAGTAGTTTTATTGTGAAGTATTCAGAATTTGTTGGCTTAAGTGAAACAAGAAGGCCACATTCTTTGGAAATACCAAGGATGTGTCCCTTCTAGGGTGTGACAAACTTGGGTAAATCACATGTAATTGTGTGATCTCAATTAAGATCCCTTTGAAATCTTACTAATATAATTAATATGGTGAGAAGAATTTTGTTACACTTTAAGGTTCATTTTAATAATTCCATTTAAGGAGAGGTAATGTGGTACAGGCTTTATTGACTTGAGATTCAGAACATTGACTGTCCAATCCTACATGACCCTGGCCTTGAAAAGTCTTAATTTCTAATGAGTGTCTAAATTTCTTCTTGGCTAGGAATAACAACTATAATGAAATAAAGAGCTCTCTTTTTAGATACCCCCAAATGATCCTTATTTGATAATATAAATGTTAATATTAATTAAGTCCCTAATAGTTGTTCACATTAAACCCATTTTTTTTAAAAAATGGTAGCAGAGAGCAGAATCTCAGAGTTGTTAGAAAACTCAATGGTCATCCAGTTCCAACCATTGCCTCTTCCCTGCTCCCCCCCCCAACAAAACAAAGCACAACCCTCCATTGTAGAACATCCCTGATAAATGGCTATCCAACCTCTGCTTTGAAAACTTTCAGTGAGGAGAAACCAATGGGTTTTTTCTGACATGGATCCTAAATTTCCCTCTTTTAAACTCTACCTAATTCTAGAATTAGTTCTTCTCATTGGGGCCAAACCAATCAGATCCATTCACTCTTGCACACGGAAGCCTTTTCAGATACTTTGAGACTCACCAGCTTCATCTCTTCCAAAGCTCTTACACTTTAATATTAATAAAGATGAATATTAATACCTGTAAATACCCTAACCTCCCAATTCCCCAGCTTCCTTAAAATCCATGGCTTACTTCACCTTGGGCACACGTAGGAATGGTCACACATTAGATCTCGTTAGTACCTACAAATATACCACTTTCCTAATTAAAAACTCTTGACGTTCCCCTGTCTGATCCATCGTTCCATCTTTCCCTATATGTTACCTCTCCTTGAACTATTCTTTGCTTCTAATTCTTCCATCCTTCAGTACTTTCTGAGGTCATCACTTCTGAGGGTCTTCCCCTCCCAGATTGATTTTTTTCTTTCTTTTTTTGACAAGGTAAAGAGGCCTCATTTCTTCCCTAGCCTTAATCACTGAATGGGCATTGCCTCAGTCAAACTGAAACCTGTTGAAGACCTTAGCTTAAAAAAGCCAGGATCCCTCACTGTATCCAGGGCCATCTTCAGTCATCCTGATCTGTACCTCGCCACTGGTCCCAGATGGCTCTGGAGGAGAAAGTGAGGCTGGTGACTTTGTACAGCCCTCCCCCACTTAAATCCAATTCACTTGCATGTCATGGCACCTTCTTCCTGATGTTGTGGTCCTCTTTGAGAATGAAGGACAAACAACTTCTGCTCAGACTTCACTTTCCACCCTCTCTAATCTCAACTCAATAGTTAGCCATTTCAACTCTAAGCTATCCTCTGCTCTCCAATCCTTTGCTCCCTTTTGCTATCACTGTTCATCTTTTGCCAAATACAGCCTTGGTACTATCCTCTGTTCCTTCTATTCCTATTGATGAACTGCTCAATATAGCTGTATGAACTCTCACCATGGTATTGACTGGATACATTGTAAACTTATGTTATTCAACCTTAATGGAATGTTATCCAGTCTTCACTAGTTAACTCCCCAAAGAAGCTATTCTAGACCTTCTCCTGTCAAACCTCCCACATCTCCTCCCCACTTAGTTCTTATGTGTTTACTGCAAAAATTGTGGCCATTCACCCCAGAGCTCCCTTCTCTTTACTTTTTTTCATTTCAAAACCCCTTGACATTATCTGCCACTTTATTCTTCTTTCTCCATTTTTTTTTTAAAGAGTGTTAACAATTTTAAGTGTAGCCCAGGTTGAACCAGGCTCTAACCTGGGAATGGCTGGAGGCAAAGAAGAGCAGGTCAGAGGCAGGCGTGCCAGGAGTCGAGTAGCGGTTTAATTAATTTCAAAGTGAGGAAGGCAGTTTGTAAACCATGAAGTCCTCCTAGGGAGGGCTCATCTTGATGAGCAAGGCAGTGGTTTATATACATAAAAAAATCACAAGTGGGTTGGACCATGACATAATCATTCTCAAGTTTTGAGTAGCTGTTCCCACGACACGCTTATTTGTGGACAATGCAGGTGTTTATGGGTCCTGTGGGAACAGTTCTTACATTGATTGTCTCACGTCCTGGGGGTTGTGATTCTATGATTCGTGGGGATTTTGTAACGGCAACAGGTTTTACAATCTTTGGTTTGATTTACTTAATGTGCAGGAATATAGGAATTGTGAGTGTGTCAAAAGTTGATTGACTACTGTAAGCTGCAGTCTGTCTCTGACTCCCAAGCCAGAATCTCCTGAGAAAATGAGAGCTCTAAAATATCTAGATGGTATAATCATTACACGTATCGTGTCAATTAATACGAGAATCACAGATCCCCTGACAAGAGATAAC